AAACCACAGGAGTAATGTGTTAGGTAGTGTATAACCTTAACTCTAACACAAATCACAGGAGTAATGCGTTAGGTAATGTATAACCTTAACTGTAACACAAACCACAGGAGTAATGTGTTAGGTAGTGTATAACCTTAACTCTAACACAAACCACAGGAGTAATGTGTAAGGTAACATATAACCTTAAGTCTAACAAAAACCACAGGAGTAATATGTTAGGTAGTGTATAACCTAAACTCTAACACAAACCACAGGAGTAATGTGTTAGGTAACATATAACCTTAACTCTAACACAAACCACAGCAGTAATGCGTAAGGTAACATATAACCTTAAGTCTAACAAAAACCACAGGAGTAATGTGTTATGTAGTGTATAACCTTAACTCTAACACAAACCACAGGAGTAATACGTAAGGTAGTGAATAACTCTAACATAAATCAGGTGGAATACGTAAAGCAGCATATACTTTAACTTTAACACACTCATAAATATGTGTAAGTTTGCATTAATATTGAACAATTCTGTTTTTACAGAGTCGCATTATGGTTTGTTATGTTGCCTTATGCTTTAACTCTAACACAAATCACATCTGCTACTTTCAATTTTCATATAAAAACCCATTACGAGACAACTTTTCGAAATTAACGAGAAAAAAATCCAATCCAAAACTAAGTTCAATTTCAAATGAAAATATCAATAGAGTAAAATGACAGGGCAAAACTATCGTAAAGATAGCCTATACGTGAAGTGTTTGATGCAAATAATGAGATATTCATCCAACAGTATTTAGAAGATCTAAGAACAGTAATGGCAAAACAAGATGGATAACTTTGGCTTGATTTTATTTTAAGATAATCATTGACATGTCACTACCCTCATTTCAATACTTGTTGGTGGTTATCTTTGGCTAAAATGCTTGTTTGACTTTTCAGTTTTTTGGCAAACGTCAAATTTGTTTTGATTGTGTAGTATAATGTATGTCATTGATTTTAATATGTCAATTGTTTTTTAGGCTTCCTCTTCCTCTCCTTCCTCGAACTCACCCTCCTCCTCGGCTGTGGCATCCTGGTACTGTTGGTACTCAGACACCAAGTCGTTCATGTTGGACTCAGCCTCTGTGAACTCCATCTCGTCCATACCCTCACCAGTGTACCAATGCAAGAAAGCCTTACGACGGAACATAGCGGTGAACTGCTCGGAGATACGCTTGAAGAGCTCCTGGATGGCGGTGCTGTTACCAATGAAGGTAGCAGACATCTTGAGACCACGTGGTGGGATATCACAGACGGCGGTCTTGACGTTGTTGGGGATCCATTCAACGAAGTAGCTGCTGTTCTTGTTCTGGACGTTCAGGAGCTGCTCATCGACCTCCTTCATGGACATNTGGGTCAGCTCTGGGACGGTAAGAGCCCTGTACTGCTGGCTACCACGAGATGTAAGAGGAGCGAACCCAGGCATGAAGAAATGAAGACGGGGGAAGGGGACCATGTTGACAGCCAATTTACGGAGATCGGCGTTCAGTTGACCGGGGAATCGGAGACAGGTGGTGACTCCGGACATGGTGGCGGAGACAAGATGGTTCAAGTCACCGTATGTGGGTGTGGTCAGTTTGAGTGTACGGAAGCAGATATCGTACAGAGCCTCGTTGTCAATACAGAAGGTTTCATCTGTGTTCTCAACAAGCTGGTGGACGGAGAGGGTGGCGTTGTATGGCTCGACCACGGTGTCTGATACCTGCAAAATACAGAAGAAAATATCTTTTTGTAATAAGGGCAGTTTATATTTGCATTGCCATACCCTGATTTCTTTAATACAGCTAGTCATTTTAGAACTATATTGAAATTCTGATCAATTTGTAAAAGTTAACCACACGATCATATTTTTAATCAGTATAAGTTTATGTTGCAGAAGAAATACAACGCCTTTTCAAATGGTGATATTACATTAAATATATTCAGGAAAAAGTTACCTTGGGTGATGGTACAACTGAGAATGTGTTCATGATCCTGTCGGGGTATTCTTCACGGATTTTGGAGATGAGGAGTGTTCCCATGCCGGAGCCGGTACCACCACCAAGAGAATGTGTAAGTTGGAATCCCTGAAGACAGTCACAACTTTCTGATTCTTTTCGTACCACATCGAGAACAGAGTCTACGAGCTCAGCACCTTCTGTGTAATGTCCCTTAGCCCAGTTGTTTCCAGCACCACTCTGTCCGAACACAAAGTTATCTGGTCTAAATATTTGTCCAAAAGGACCAGATCTGACAGAGTCCATAGTTCCAGGCTCCAGATCAACCAAGACAGCACGGGGAACATATTTGCCTCCTGAAATTGAAAGAATTAAACCAGATTAATAAAAAGGTAAAAGTACAATTTCGTTGTCAGGAAATTCTTACACAACGTTAGACAGTAAATATACCCCAAGAGCATTTCCTAATAGGTTAATTTCTTTTTAATGAGAATTTGTTTTACCTTTCAGATATTAAAGAAGTAACAGAAATGTCATTAAGTACCTGTGGCTTCATTGTAGTACACGTTGATCCTCTCCAATTGAAGGTCGGAATCTCCGTGGTATGTACCGGTGGGGTCAACTCCGTGTTCATCAGAAATAACCTCCCAGAACTGAAATTTAAACAAAGTTGTTACCAACAGTGAAAATGGTAACGATGAGACAAAGAACTTGCTCTGCTAAAATAAACTTAACCTGCCTAGTATCCACGCACCCAGTTACAAAACAGAAACTTTTTATGTTTATTAGGTGTCTATTGTCATGTTTTCACCGGGTCGAGCTTCTATCTTTTTAACGTTATTTCGCATTAATACAATTGCCTTTTATTCTTAGATGGATTTTCACTCGTTTTTTTTTATTATTCTGTCATTGATGTTTCTATTTTGTGAATCGGTAAAGAAAAAATAAAATAAAACAAGCTGATGAATTTCGCCTTCCTCCATTGTTCCCGTGATATATTGACGACAATTTAAATGGTAAACGAACAATACGGCACGTCACAGTTACCGTAGTGTAAATTAATCATTGTCATGTGACAGCACTCCTGGAGCGTTTTTTTATTATTAAAAAACTGTTACATTCACTCTAGTAGGAACACAGTGCCATTGTTTTACAGTCAATACATTCCTATACAACAATGTCATTACAAAAGATTCAAAAACCAAGTGTCTGTGTGATCCCGGGCGCTATTTATATAGGTGGTACACACGTGAAGCACTCTCTGTATTGATTGCTTAACAACCGAAATGACAGACTAAGAGTGGTAACGTGTAACCTAGTAACTATGTCTCATTGGCTTGGGTGATCCTGGAATCGATAGCTATCATGGCCAACCTGAACAGAACGAGCGAGCGTGTTTTTTTTTAAATTTTCTATTTACTTCAATTTTTTCATTGTTTTTATTTTACAAAATCGGAAAAACAATCAGTAAATATTGATCGTATATCAAAAAAGGCCGGACTGTTTTTAATATATTCCCGAGCATCTGATTCTGATGACCCTAACACCGGACATGAGATAATTACAAGTCAAAACGATCTGCGTTTTGAGTGTAGAACAGCAGGGTACTGGATTTTAAAAGCCGATGATTTCACGTTTGTGAATTTATAATAGAACAGCTTTTCATTATGTCACCTCATTATGTAATTTATGTTTAGTAGATCGACCAAATGTGAACAATCAGATAGCTACACTGCATCACTAGCAAGCTAACAAAAACGGTGAAATCGCATCCACTCAGCCTACCTCAGCTATACAACAAACTCTAACTTATCCCCGTACATTTATTTCTAATTCCGAACATGGCGGCCATTTTCTTTACATCAAGAGCATGCCGCTATCACAAATATTATAATTTTGACAAAAAATACTTTAAACGAATTAGTATGCAATTTAAAGAATATATAAGGTTAGGTACCTTAGCTCCAATCTGGTTGCCACATTGGCCAGCTTGCATGTGTACGATTTCCCTCATTTTGTAGTTGATGTGCCGCCCTGCTAATCCGTTATGTGATAGTTTGTCCGCTTCCTGATGCCGCTCTGATGGCTGCGCACCAAGGTGGCCGCTTATATACCCCGCTTTCGATCGATATCCTAGTCATGATAAGGGCCAACGTCACGCTCGCGAGGACGCTTCCTAGAAACGTCAACATTGTATCATAATTGGATTGCTTATTTATTATTGTGGACCAAATGATAGTGTCTCGATTTCGGGTATGCTTTGAATATGAAAGTAACTTGTGTATCGTTGCCAAGTTGTTTTTGACATCTTTTGAATACAAGGTCATTTCCAAGTATTTAATTGCTTACATTGCGACACTCGACACATTTAAATGTGTTTTGAACTACAGAAGGACTCAAATGAGTATATCAAATAAAGAATGAACACTTTCAAAAGCATACTATAAAATATAAAACTGTTGATATCATAAGTGCCCGTTAATGTGTACCAGCAGGGTTGACCTCTGATCGATGTAGCGGGAAATGGAAAATTGAGTCTTCTTATTCCAAATATCTCAATTCTAACTTAGTTAGATTTATGAACCTGACATAAGTTGTTTGTTTCATTTGCTCTTGAATGTGAACATCGCTTATGCGGATGAGTTTGAATTTCGCACATTCAAGCTAGAAATAAATCCGGCTCAAAATTAGAATGCGTTAGGCGTATTTAGTGAAATATGCCATACCGACAATTCAAACTTCAAAGTTAAACGATGTCTTTGTGCAATAAAAATGTTGTATCTAGAATGATTTGATATGAGCCATGACAACGAACATTCATTGACGGTTTACAGTTTTACCTCACCTTACACGTAAACTTACACAAGCTCAATTACACAAGCTCCAGTATCTATAGCGCCCAGCAGTAGACTTACACTAGATCCATTATCCATAGCGCCTAACGGTAGACCTACACAAGCTCTAGTATCTATAGCGACTAACAGTAGACTTACACAAGCTACAGAATATAGCGCCCAACAGTTGACTTACTCAAAATCAAGTATCTATAGCGCCTAACAGTAGACTTACACAAGCTACAGAATATAGCGCCCAACAGTAAACTTACTCAAAATCAAGTATCTATAGCGCCTCACGGTAGACTTACACAAGCTCAAGTATCTATGGCGTCTTACGGTATACTTACACAAGCTCAATTACATAAGCTCCAGTATCTATAGCGACCAACAGTAGACTTACACAAAATCAAGTATCTATAGCGCCTAACAGTAGACTTACACAAGCTCCAATATCTAAAGCGCCTAACGGTAGACTTACACAAAATCCAGTATATATAGCGCCTAACGGTAGACTTACACAAGCTCCAGTATATATTGCGCCCAGCAGTAGACATACACTGGCTCCAGTATCTATACCCCTCAGCAGTAGACTTACACTAGATCCAGGATCTATAGCGCCCAACAGTAGACTTACACAAAATCAAGTATCTATAGCGCCTCACGGTAGACTTACACAAGCTCAAGTATCTAGAGCGTCTTACGGTATGCTTACACAAGCTCAATTACACAAGCTCCAGTATCTAAAGCACCCAACAGTAGTCTTACACTAGATCCAGTATCTATAGCGCCCAGCAGTCGACTTACACTAGATCCATTATCCCTAGCGCCTAACGGTAGACTTACACAATCTCTAGTATCTAAAGCACCCAACAGTAGTCTTACACTAGATCCAGTATCTATAGCGCCCAATAGAAGGTTTACACAAGCTCCAGTATCTAAAGCACCCAACAGTAGTCTTACACTAGATCCAGTATCTATAGCGCCCAACAGTAGCCTTACTCAAAATCCAGTATCTATCGCACCTAACGGTAGACCTACACAAGCTCCAGTATCTAAAGCGCCTAACGGTAGACTTACACAAGCCCAAGTATCTATAGCGTCTTACGGTATACTTACACAAGCTCAATTACACTAGCTCCAGTATCTATAGCGCCCAATGGTAGGTTTACACAAGCTCCAGTATCTAAAGCACCCAACAGTAGTCTTACACTAGATCCAGTATCTATAGCACCTAACGGTAGACTTACACAAGCTCAAGTATCTATGGCGTCTTACGGTATACTTACACAAGCTCAATTACATAAGCTCCAGTATCTATAGCGACCAACAGTAGACTTACACAAAATCAAGTATCTATAGCGCCTCACGGTAGACTTACACAAGCTCCAGTATCTATAGCGCCCAATAGAAGGTTTACACAAGCTCCAGTATATATTGCGCCCAGCAGTAGACATACACTGGCTCCAGTATCTATACCTCCCGGTAGTAGACTTACACAAGCTCCAAAATATAGCGCCAAACAGTAGACTTACTCAAAATCAAGTATCTATAGCGCCTCACGGTAGACTTACACAAGCTCAAGTATCTATGGCGTCTTACGGTATACTTACACAAGCTCAATTACATAAGCTCCAGTATCTATAGCGCCCAATAGAAGGTTTACACAAGCTCCAGAATATATAGCGCCCAACAGTAGACTTACACTAGATCAAGTATTCTTAAGCGACTAACAGTAGACTTACACAATCTCCAAAATATAGCGCCCAACAGTAGACTTACACAAAATCCAGTATCTATAGCCTAACGGTAACCTTACACTAGATCCAGTATCTATAGCGACTAACGGTAGACTTACACAAGCTCGAGGATCTATAGCGTCTTACGGTATACTTACACAAGTTCAATTACACAAGCTCCAGCACTATAGCGCCCAACAGTAGCCTTACACAAAATCCAGTATCTATAGCACCTAACGGTAGACCTACACAAGCTCTAGTATCTAAAGCACCCAACAGTAGACTTACACTAGATCCAGTATCTATAGCGACTAACGGTAGACTTACACAAGCTCCAGAATATATAGCGCCCAATAGAAGGTTTACACAAGCTCCAGTATATATAGCGCCCAATAGAAGGTTTACGCAAGCTCCAGTATATATAGCGCCCAACAGTAGACTTACACTAGATCCAGTATCTAAAGCACCCAACAGTAGACTTACACTAGATCAAGTATCTATAGCGACTAACGGTAGACTTACACAAGCTCCAGAATATATAGCGCCCAATAGAAGGTTTACACAAGCTCCAGTATCTAAAGCGCCTAACGGTAGACTTACACAAGCTCAATTATATATAGCGCCTAGCTGTAAACATACACTAGCTCCAGTAACCATAGCTCCAAGCAGTAGACTTACACTAGATCCATTATCTATAGCCTAACGGTAACCTTACACTAGATCCAGTATCTATAGCGCCCAACAGTAGACTTACACAAAATCCAGTATCTATAGCCTAACGGTAACCTTACTCTAGATCCAGTATCTATAGCGCCTCACGGTAGACTTACACAAGCTCCATTATCTAAAGCACCCAACAGTAGACTTACACTAGTTCCAGTATCTATAGCGCCCAATAGTAGGTTTACACAAGCTCCAATATATATTGCGCCCAGCAGTAGACATACACTAGCTCCAGTATCTATAGCGCCAAACAGTAGACTTACACTAGATCCATTATCTATAGCCTAACGGTAACCTTACTCTAGATCCAGTATCTATAGCGCCCAACAGTAGACTTACACTAGATCAAGTATCTATAGCGCCAAACGGTAGACTAACACAAGCTCCAGTATATATAGCGCCCAATAGTAGGTTTACACAAGCTCCAGTATATATAGCGCCCAATAGTAGGCAAGCTCTAGTATCTATAGCGACTAACAGTAGACTTACACAAGCTCCAGGATATATTGCTCCTAACGGTACATTTTCACGAAAGACTTACACAAGCTCCAGTTCCTATAGCTCCTAACGGTAGACTTACACACGCTCCAGTATGTATAGCGCCCAACAGTAGACTTACACAAAATCCAGTATATATAGCGCCTAACGGTAGACTTATACACGCTCCAGTATCTATAGCGTCCAACAGTAGACTTAAACTAGATCCAGTATCTATAGCGCCTGACAGTAGACGTACACAAGCTCCAGGATATATTGCGCCTAACGGTACATTTTCACGAAAGACTTACACAAGCTCCAGTATCTATAGCGCCTAACGGTAGACTTATACACGCTCCAGTATCTATAGCGTCCAACAGTAGACTTAAACTAGATCCAGTATCTATAGCGCCCACCGGTAGACTTACTCAAGTTCCAGTATATATTACGCCCAATAGTAGGTTTACACAAGCTCCAGTATGTATAGCGCCCAACAGTAGGTTTACACAAGATCCAGTATCTATAGCGCCTGATGGTAAACTTACACAAGCTTTAGTATCTATAGCGCCTGATGTTAAACTTACACAAGCTTTAGTATCTATAGCGCCTGATGTTAAACTTACACAAGCTTTAGTATCTATAGCGCCTGATGTTAAACTTACACAAGCTTTAGTATCTATAGCGCCTGATGTTAAACTTACACAAGCTTTAGTATCTATCTATAGCTCCCAACAGTAGACTTACACTAGAATCATTATCTTAAGCGACTAACAGTAGACTTACACATGCTCCAGAATATATAGCGCCCAATAGTATATATAGCGCCCAAAGGTAGATTTACTTATGCGCCAGTATCTAAAGCGCCTAACGGTAGACTTATACACGCTCCAGTATCTATAGCGTCCAACAGTAGACGGAGGGGAGATCCAGTATCTATAGCACCTAACGGTAGACCTACACTAGATCCAGTATCTATGGCGACTAACGGTAGACTTACACATGCTCCAGAATATATAGCGCCCAATAGAAGGGTTACACAAGCTCCAGTATTTAAAGCGTCTTATGGTAGCGCCTAACGGTAGACTTACACACGCTCCAGTATGTATAGCGCCCAACAGTAGCCTTACTCAAAATCCAGTATATATAGCGCCTGACGGTAGACTTACACGAGCTCCAGTATCTATAGCGCCCGGTAGACTTATACACGCTCCAGTATCTAAAGCGCCTAACGGTAGACCTACACAAGCTCCAGTATTTAAAGCGTCTTATGGTAGCGCCTAACGGTAGAAGTAGACTCACTCGATCCAGTATCTATAGCGCCTGATG